ACAAAAGTAAGAAAAATTAATATATATATATATATATATATATATCAAATTAATCTTTTAAGTATGTTATTGTCCGATTCCATTTGAGTTTAAAAATATTTTATTCGTTTTAAATTTAATCTAAAAATTCAATTAAAATTCTAATTCTAATTTAACTCGATTTAATATAACTTTTAATTTATCATATTTTATTGCATATAATTTTATCAAAATCTAACTATTAATATATAAATGCATAAAAAAGTATTTTTATAACGATTTTGAGATAAATAAATTCTTTCTAAACTTGAATATGAAATTTTACTATTTAAATTAAATATATAAATAAAACCAGCGAATTTTAGTAAAGAAATTAAATTTATGAAATTAATAACCTATACTCCTATTTGGGTCCCCACTAATATCAACAACAACAACAACAAAACCCAATTCCCATATGCAATGGGGTAAGGGGGAGGTAGGGTAGTAGGCTGCCCCCAACGCCATGTTTAGAGTAGCTTCCGTGGAAGACCTCCGGCAGTCAGAAAATAAATATAGATAAATGCAAAGCATGTATAAATAAATACATAAATACATAGTTGAACAATATTCATATGCAGTCATAAATATCATTAATATCATATGCGCATTTGAAATGGGAAGTAATCCATGCAAATAAATCCCTGCGAAAAAATCTCTGCATATAGACAGAAACGTAAGACTCGACTAAATTTAAAAGTGAAGAGAATATACACAGAGTCCACGATAGCAAGCCCAATTCTAAGCCTTCATAAATACCAATAACAGAAAACGTATAAAAGTAGAATTCATGGAAATTACTACAAAGGCATTAAAAGAAGACAGAAATGATACACCCTAGAGATGTGACCCACACTACTCGACTACCCTAGTCTTTAGTCTCATACTTTCCTATCAGAGGTCATGTCCTCGGTAAGGGCTAAATCCATCAAATCAGATCTCAAGCAGTCTTCCCACTTCCCGCCTTGGTCGTCCTCTCCTTCTGGCACCGTCGACTGTAATCGACTCTACCCTCCTGACCGCATCCGACGTAGTCGCCTAAGGACATGCCCAAACACCGTAGTCTTCCCTCCTCAATTTTTCAGAAACAGGCACCACCCCCAAGGACATCCTAATAGTAGAGTTTGTTGTCATATCCACAGAGTCCTACCGCATGTCCACGAAGCATTCTCATTTCTGCAGCCTCTATCCTCCTTACATGATCCTTCTTGGTTGCCCAACATTCTGATCCATACAACAACGCTGGTCTTATTGTCATTCTATAAAATTTTCCCTTAAGTTTTAGAGGCACCTTCTTGTCACACAAAACTCCAGTAGCAACCCTCCACTTTAGCCATCACGCCTTTATACGGTGTGTTACATCATCATCTACACCCCCATCTTTATGTATCATAGACCCTAGGTACTTGAAACAATCCTTTGAGGGGAGAACGTGTCCTTCTATGCATACTTCTACATCTTCATCGTTTTGGTCCCCACTAATATCACAATACACCAATTATGAGGGATGCCCACATACAATATAAACAATTAAAAAATATGTCATTTTTCTATTAAATTGGACAGTTTTTTATTTATAAAATGCATATTTTTGTCCATTTGCAAAAGATTTTTTTTATTACAAATGCAGCCAAAATTTAATGTTTTGTTGATTTTATGGCCCTTTGTTAATGTATTTATTGCTTTGCCAACTTTCCTTTTTTAGACCTTTTAGTCCCTCCAAAAAACAATGAATTTATTTAATTTGGATTTGCATTATTAAAAACATTTTTTTAATTTTAATTATAAAAAATACTCATAGATTTCCTTTTATTTTAAAGGAATTTTAGGATTTTAATTTTAACTAACTTCTCAAGTTTTTTTATATAGAACTATATTTTTATATAAATAATTATTGTTGGTTGCAGTCTTGTTGGGATGGATTGAGGGCATGTTGGGAGTGCGATCGTAATCTCTAAAATATCAAAATGTTATTTAATTTATATATTTTTTGTTGATAACTAATTTGATTCTCTTAAATTTTTAATATATATATATATTTTAAAATATCTTCGATATAAAATTTGCGTCTATCCTTAGTTGATTGTACTAATTATTTTGATATTATCCTTAATATTGTACTATCATTGATATTCGATCTATTGATCGATTAATCTAGATCGGGTACTACAGTGGCGAGGGTGACCCTCCCAACCCAGTTTGCTCGATTTACAAACGCCAGTCAAACATCTGACCTTACTTAAGAGACCTAGTGTCTCATCCTACTAGACCGACTGATTATTGGTAAATTAGTACTTTCCTTCTTTAGGTCATCCTTTTAATTTCTCCATCAATTCTACAAAATTTCATTTGAAAAATAACTTGTAAAATCAAATTTCATAGGTTATTTTTTTGGTATATTCACGTTTATTTAATTTATTAATTGATTAATTCAGATTATATATTGTAGATGTATTTTTTAATAGTCTAAGGTGATTATAATATAATATTTATTCATAATTTTGTTAACTTATTGATAATGTACATACCCTCTAGATGCAGCTGCTCACACCCAAAATCTCTAAGGAGAACAATATTCTCCTTTACCATTGAGACCAGTTTATGAATTCAACATTGTAGATGTATTTGTTTTTATTAATCTAAGGTGTGATTACAAGTAGTCAGGCCTGTCTAATGCCAAGCGTGACATGTGATCTGTCATAGTGCTTTAAAATTTATGGACCTCAAACATGGATATCATTTAGGCTCGTTCACGTACAATATTTGTGTCATAATGATATTTTTGTTCGAAGAAAAAAATAAAATTTTAATGACAGAAAAAGTTGTAAATTAAGATTTTGACAGAGTCGTGTTCCATGATGAAATTTTGGTAAAAAGACCTCTTAGATCCTTTATAATTTCAAATTTCACAAATGAATCTTTATTATAAAATATTTTAGGGGATCATTTTAAGATGTAACACAATGCCTACACATTATTTGATACACGTCTTCAAGTAGTATATGTTCTAAAGATTCTTAACCATTTAATAATTAAGGCTCAAACCCCTTTGCAATCTCTCGTGCTCAAACCTGATACCTCTAGGATTAAAAACTATTCCTTTAACCATTGAGATAAATATTGTAAATATTTATTATAAAGTAATCGATTTGTTTTTCACTTACAATAATGCTTTGTCCCATTAAACTAACTGATAATTTTTATTATTATACGAATACGACGCCATTAATTAACAAAACAACATAATAAATGTAACTAAAAGCATAAGAGACATGTAGAAGATAGAAAAATAGACAATATACAAGGTGAAGTGAGACTTTCCCATATCAAAAATGAAAATTGAGGCCCACAATCCACATGTTGGATTATTGCGGGAAGTTCTACCCTACGACAGCTTTAATATACGGTTAAGGAAATTTATTATCGATTTTATTATTTCTTTTTAACAAAATCGGTAAAAATTACCGAAAACATTATTAATTCTACCCAAAACATTATTGAGATCTTTTCTGAGCTTATTAATATCTGGTAAAGTTCTACCTAAAACATTATTTTTTCTACCGAATATATTACCAAACACAGTAAATCGTCAATAATAACAAAACCGGTAGAAAAATAATATTTCCGGTAATTTTTATCGGTTTCTTTAAAATAATAAAAAACCAATAACTTCTTTCCTTAACCGTATATTAAGCTGTCGCACGTGAGACTTCCTCATCTATGGCACACAAGCCTGAGCTGTAAAAACTAAACTCAAAAGAATATAAATTAGTGTTGTTGTGTGCCCAAATCCAATAGGTAATGTCAGGCATATTTTTTTTTGTAAAATGATAAGGGAAATGGAGAACCAAATTCCCAATCACCAATCTTTGTTTCTTGCCTTTTCTTTTCATGAAATCATTGTCATTGTTACTTATCTTTATTCCCTTAATGGAACCTCCAATTTCAAAGGATTACTATTGTAGTTTGATGTATATTTTAATTTTAATAAATACATAGGCATTGAGTGTTTAGTACTTAAACTACGAGTTTTGGTCCATTTTAGTATCTAAACTTCTAATTTTTTCATAACCATACATAACGTTTAGTTTTTGTTTCATTTTAGTATCCTGTTGATAAAAACGTAACGCGCTTGGTACATAAACTATAAGTTTTAGTCTATTTTAGTATTTAAACTTTTAATATTTTTTTAATTTAATGTTAAATATTGAACGATGTACTAAAATGAAACAAAAAAATAAACTTTAAGTATGGTTTTGAAAATTTTAAAAGTTTAGGTATTAAACGGGTCAAAATTTTTAGGTATTAAACGCATAATTTATCCAAATATATATTATAGTTTAATGTGGGTTCTTTATATGGTACCATTTATTGAGCAGTTCTGTCTCTAAGTGGGAGTGTTTATTTTTTTAATAGTATGTGGTGATTGGAAGATAATATTTTGTTCATAATTGTACATATTATGTAGATGTTGTTGTTCGAATTTAGAATCTCAAGGGATAACAACAGTCAACACTCCCTTGAATCAATGAAGACCCTAAACGAGTTTCTACATAGGCATTAACTTTAGAGATAATATGTGAACATAATGTCAAAATTAGCCCTTAATGTTCCTTAAAATGATCATTTCGGCCCGTATCCTTTTTTGGAGCATTTTGATCTTTAATATTTCATTTTAGGGCCAAAAGTTTCATTTATAGATAGAAACCGTTAGTTAACACAAGATTAATGCTCTAAAATAAGGGTATTTTTACCATAAAATTAAACGTTAAGGACCGAAATGCTACAGAAAAAAGAAGAATAAAGGCCAAAGTGACTATTCAATCAAATGTTATAAGCTTTTTTGCCCTAAAATAAAATATCGGAGGCTAAAATGCTCAAAAAAAGAATAAGGACAAAAATAACTATTTCAATTAACATTGGGACTAATTTTGATATTATGACTAATATGTGAAAATGCATCCTAAATTTCCTATGCCTAGATTTGTTGACGGAAATCCTCCTCGTATTGCCTGTTAAGTCCATCGTCCGGTTCAATTGTGCGTCAAAGCAATGGCGCCACCTCTTTCGGAATCCCGATTTCGTTTCCCGACATTTTAGAATCAGCCGGAAGAAGAAGCGTCTCATCTTATATTATTGCGAGGGCACCCTCGACACACCCGTCGTCGTCATGCGCTTCTTTGTCGACCGAGACCTCGTCGATTACCGCGACATGCATGGACAGTTGCCACCACATTTCGTTAATATGTTCGTTTTCACCTTTTGTGTCGGAGGTGGACTGATTTGTTTGCTTGATTGGACCAATTCTCGTATAACCCTATCTAATCCCGCCGCAAGAGAGTTCAAGATCCTCCCCGAATGCAACGAAGATATTCCGGACAAGTCGTATACTTTTGCGCATACTCTCGGATTCGGATTGGACCCTCTGTCCAATGACTACAAGGTGGTTCATATCCGATCGTACGTGGACGAAGAGAACAACAAGGTGGTTCATGGAGGGTGATCAAACACGAAGAGTCTCGGTTGTTCGAGTGTCTCGGGGTTTGTCCGAACGACAACAACACATGTGCGAACCGCTTTTATTATTGACTGACTGACCATAACATCCTCGCATTTCATTTGCACCGAGAAGTTTTCCGGTTGATCGAGTCGCCCTGCGGCAAATCGTTCGGGAGGTTGCTTCCTTTGAACGACCGGGTATCGTTTTGGGATACCGAGATGATGGAGACAAGTGCAAGGACTAATGAGGTCTGGATATTGAACGATGGGTGCCATTGGACCAAGATATTGAAGATAGTATCGAGGCCGGAATTCGAAAGGATGTTCGGGTTTTGGAAGTACGGCGAGGTATTAGCCGAATCCGAGGCCGGAGAGTTCGTGCTTTTCGATCTCGACACCCGTAATTCTCGTGAGCTTGGGATTAAAACTAGGGTTCGTGGAGATTTACTTCAGGTCTACACTTATGAGGAAAATCTTGCTTCAATAAAATGAGATTAGATTGGTTGATTACAAAGTAATATATTTGTACAAAGTCCGGAATTTTTTCGAAATCCAATTGAAAAAATAATATGGAGATGAGTATTATTACAATTATCTATAATATATAGTATAATTACATTATTTTTCGAGTCGGACCATATCAGATTTTTTTTATCTTAAACACAAACTCGGCCTAATTTAAAAAAAAAACTCGAAACTAGTCAAGTTCGAGTCATCCCTAACCACTAACCAGCAAGTAAAAGTTGTACTATAAGATCTTATAAGTACGTGAAAAAGAATTATCAGAGCCTAAACGAAGGCTTGGAAGACAAAGAGGCCAGTTCTCTTATGGTCCTGTTTGATATGGGTTCGTTTTTCTCAAGTGGATCTCTTTCTTTCTAATCATTTTGGGTCAGACCATTTGAATAATTTTTTAAGCGATGAAAATTATATGTTTTTATTTATTTATTTTGATTAATCTTCAGTGAATATAGTATAATATAATCTATATTCGAAAAATTATGAACTATTTAACAATAAATATTTATATATCCCTTACAAACGCGATACACAAACTCTACACATTAAGAGATAACAATACTCTCTTGACCATTGAGATCGTTTGATTCATACTAATTTTTTACATTGATACTAGCAGGGGCGTGGCTTGGGCGGGGCAAACTGCGCGACCGCGCAGGGCCCCCAAAAAATAGGCCCCAAAAAAATATATATATATAGTGACGTTTTTCCAATAAACGCCACTATAGATGAAACTATTGCGACGTTTTTTCAAAAAAAACGTCACTATTATTGCGCAGGCCAAAAAAATGCCCAAAAAAGTATATATATAGTGGCGTTTTTATCTTCAAAAAACGCCACTATTGTTGTCTCGAAATCGAATATATCTAAAAAATATGGCTCCATTATAAGAATTTGTACAGGGCCCTCGAAAACCTAGTCACGGCCCTGGATACTAGTCATAACCATTTTTGAAAAAAATTAATTAAAAAAATAATTATGACTTTACTTTAGAAATTTTGGATTTTTTGTTTAATTTGAAATGGAGTCATCGCGCATCTACCTAAAAACGTCTTTTTAACGAATTTTAAAAAAAATATTTAAAAGACGAAGTAGTTTGCATATTACCAGAAATTAGTTTTTGAGGATTCGAGAGTCAATTAAGCACGGCGAAGGGTAAGCGCCCCACAACGCCCAAAATTAGTACCTCTCGGTTATACGTTGTCTACGTAGTGGTACTTTATACATTCGAATCTAAAATTTAAATTACGATACTTCTATTTTGATGAATTTTAAAAATAAGTAAATTTCTTTAAAAAATTGCCGACTAAATTAAAAATATTTAATTCATTTATTTTCATTTTAAAAAAGATGTCCCTTTACTACGTAAACTAATGGAAATTAAAATCGAGTGATGTTGTGTACAAATCCATTAACTTACTACACAAAATAACATTGTCTTTAATTGTTTTAGAAAATAAATGCATAATTCATTAATTCATCAATAATAAATGATATGTACATGATTGATGAAATACCAGATATAATTTGATAAATAAATAAATGAGACACAATGTTTATATTTATTAAGATACAAAATATTGACGAGATGTTCCTTTACTCGTACGTCTTAAGGAATCGAACTCTAAATATTTTGGAGGTTTTCCCCTAAACCGTTCTTCGTTCGGGATATTCCCAAAGATATATATATATATATATATATAACTTAATTTTTTTATGAAAAGAATTTTATTATTAAAAAGTATGGAAAGTAGAATGATACCTTTCGTTCGAATAAGGTTCGAAAGAGCACTCCAAGAATTCGAGGTGTTTCCATAGATTAATCGCACTATAGGTATTACCTTACTTTAGAATTGATTAATGCAATGTTCACTAATCAAACACGTATAAAACACATGTAATTAGGGATGCGCATGAGACCCGAACTCGACGGGTTCCAATCAATTGGGGAGGATTTTTTAAAGGTGATGTTCGGATTGGATCGGATTTTTTTAAGATGATATTCGGATCGGGTCGGATTCGGGTTTAGGGTGAAAAATACACGGTCCGACCCGGAAAAATTATAATTTTACCTCATATGTATTTAGTAATAATTACAATAGTATCCATCTATATATTATTTTTTTCAATTAAATCATTGTTTTTATCAAATAAAAATAATTCTTTTATTATTTGAGTCGGATCGGATAGGGTTCGGATTTTATCTAAAAAATCGGATCGGATTCAGGTCGGGTGGAGAGTATATATTTTCAGGCCGGGTCTGGTGAATGATGTAAAATTTTTAGGTCGGTTCAGACGAAACCCGACCCATGCATATCATCCCTACATGTAACCTTTACAAGATAAATATCATGCTATATAAAACAAACTTGATGTATATGGGTAAATATAATACTACATATATTAAAAAGAAATATAAATACTAAAATTAATTTAATAAATGCTCTTTAAGACCAAATATATATAACTAGGATAAATATTTAATGCAAAGCATATTTACCGCCCTAACCAAAACATGGTTCTCAACACATAGAATTAAAGCTAAACTAGGGATCTGATCGATGAAAAGCAAACATACATAAATAAAAACATGGTTTAATCGAAACAAACTATGATACATAGACTAAATTAAAATAAATCCGAAACACATAGGTGAAATTAATAGGCATCAATAATGTCAAAAGGACTAAAATGACTAAATAATAAATACAAGGGTTAAAAAATAAAATAAGAAACTCAAACTAGAGTTAAATCAAAGAAATAAAAGAAATAACAGGTCCAACATGTAAATAACTCCCAGAAACTAAAATGATGAACCAAAAAGTGACCAAAATAAACAAGGGTACAAGCCTTAGAGATTACAATCTATATTACAAAATTTTCAAAGAAAAGTAAATCCAAAGGATTAAAATATGAAGCAATGCAAACATGAGGCTCAAAACCAGAAATTTCACATTTTTATTGAGCGACTAAAATGAAAACATTACAAAAGTACAAGTGCCTCTCACACAGATTACCCACTAAGAAGCGAGTCACACTCCCCCTCCCCTATATGGCAACGTTTCAGAACATGCATATGACCTTAAGCTTAGGATATGTTTGGTTCACGTAATATAAAATTACCAATGAGAATAAAATGACTGTCTCTTTTTCCCATATCTATGGGGTAAGAAGGAGGTAAGATAGTAGGCTACCCCCAACACCAGGTTGAGAGCAACTTCCGTAAAAAACCTCCGAATTATGAAATGCAGCAGCCCTAACAGCAACTGTATGTACCTGTGGGGAACCAATATTACCAAGTTATGAAGGAATTCCGTGAATAAAGAAAAAATTATATCTCGTTCTTGAACTGAAGTAACATAAACTCGAGACGTCCAGAGAAAATTTTCTTATCAAAATATAAAAAACGAGACAGACTGATATCTTTGAAGAACGAAAATTCACCTCATTTTGTAACTGCATAAGTGCATCATAGATGGCAAAACCCTCCGTCTCCAAGCCAACTTGCATTATAAGAGCTTTAAATTAATGTCCGTATAGCAAGCAGAAGCGAACATAATGCATGGCAAGCAGAAGAAGCGGCAGCATGGAAGAAGAAGCTAGTGTTTACAATTCAGATACTATTCAGGTTTATATACAGTTACATATTTGTAGGTTTACATGCACTTAATCTACACAAAAGACAGTGAAAATCCAAATTTTAACTCATCTGGCCTTTTTTACTTATTAAATGAGAACCAAGGTATGAGTCTAACATAACCTACGCGATCCATAATGTATTACGTCTTAAATTCATTATCAAATTTGAAGGTACCATATGCAAAGCTCACCGTTTCACCATCATCACGAGTTGTTCCGTAGAGTTTATGTAAAGATAGATTGGTTGCTTGGGATCCATCCATTGGATACATTAGTCATGCTACAAGCTCTGTCACTGCAGGCACAAGCTGAAAGGTAAACGATCAAACTGTTTGAACAAATTACAGTAACAACAAAACAATATGATATAGGAAATGATACTCTTGGTTTGCTTTCTCGTACTGAGAGATCCATGAATTAGGATCCTGATACATATAGATACAGATTGTCCCTCGGGAACAAGAATTTCCATGAAATAGATATCTCAAAGCTCTTAACAAGATTGCAAGAACACGAAATTCCAGTTATCCACAACCCAGTTTTGCAATTTTTATAAAAAATTTCTAATTTGGTAAAGCATATGCAACAGAAAACATTTACAATTTATAAACCTCACCCACCCACCCTTTTAAATCAGAATTCGGAATACTCACCGGCATGCCAATGTAAACTATTCTACGTTAAGAAGCAATGAAGGTAAGTCTGGTGGAGGGCTTTTTGGCCTGTGCTCATTGTATGACACTGATCTTTCCACCTAATTCAGTTTCGATGATTAGTTCGAAAATTTTCAATCAATACAAATTTATCAACTAAAATATATTTAAAAAACCCTAATACTATATCTGA